GTCTCAAATCCTGGCACAAATTCAGCACTGGGTTAGGAGGCCTCCACCCCCGCTGCATGATTCCCCGAGGGCAGATAAGAGCAAGCACTGTGACTACCACCGTGTATATGGTCACAATACAGAGGACTGCCAACATTGGAAGGATGAGTTAGAGTTTTTGGCTCGTAACGGGAAGCTAAAAGGGTATGTTCAGAAGCCTCACACCCAGCAACCCACTCAAACCCATTTTGTGCAGGCGTACGACCGACCTCAAGGACAGAGGTACCAACATGGTGGGACACAGGATGCATATCAGGATAACCAGTATCCTACTGAACAGAGCAGAGTGTACCGAGGACGTCCTTTCAACAAGAGAGGGCAGGGACCGAGAACTACCGCCCCGAATCAAAAAGACAGGAAAGGGGTAGGTTATGCTGGGATACCCCCACATTCTGGTACAATAAACATGATATCGGGTGGTGTTCATTCAGGGGGCCAAAGTGCTCGAGCTCGCAAGGCATATGCTCGACAGGTGATGACCGTTAACAAAGACAGACCCTTGAAACGGCCGTTTGAGGAAGCAGAATGGGAAAATACGCCCATTACATTCAGCCCGGCAGATTACAAGTGAGCAGAAGGAGAGACCGACATTATGATGCCCCATGCAGATCCCTTTGTGGCAACAATTCATATAGGCAATCATAATGTCAATAAGGTGTTTATTGACACGGGCAGTTCACCAGATATCCTATACTGGGGTTGCTTCCAGAAGATGCAGCTAAATCCGAGCTCGCTTCAGAAGCATGAAGGGCCAATATACGGGTTTGATAACCAGCCCGTCCCAGTTGAAGGAGTCATTACCCTTCCTATATATGTGGGCTCAGAACCGCGCTTCAGGATGGCTTCCGTCACCTTCCTGGTTGTTAAGATGGAATCAGCTTTCAATGCTATACTGGGAAGAGCCACACTGTGCGAGCTGAAGGCTGTTATCTCACAACCCCACCTCTGTATGAAGTTCCCAACTCCTCAGGGGGTAGGGGTGCTGAAAGGAAATCAGAAGATGGCTAGAGCCTGCTATCAAGACACGTTCAAGAAAGTCGAGGTCGCTGCAGCCCCGACGAGTGTTGAGGGTTGGAAGCCAACCCAGCTTGGTCAACAGACAATGAGCATATCAGACATTGAGCATCGACCTGAGAGCGTCGAGCAGAAGGCAGAGCCAGTAGAGCCAGTGGAAACGGTGCCTTTAAACCCGGATGTGCCGGAGAGAACAGTGAAGATCGGCACCAAACTCAC